ATTGCAAAAAGAAGGTTGCATCTACCTATCTATCTGTTGAAAAAAGTAATGACAAGTATTCATTCATAGACAAAGCTAAGTTTCAAAAAAAGAACGTATTAAGATTCTATTCAACTTTAGTTTTAAAAGAGGTGACATTTGATATCCTGCAACAAGAGTTTGCGACATTCTGCCAACGAAATGACTCAATGCATATGTTATTACTATTACTATTTATACAGCATTACATGATGAGCTGAATTAGCATGTTTATACACACGTAATGTTCTTGTTTATATGTCGCGTGTTAATATGTGTGTGTTGAGAACAGACAGAGAAATAGTTATGGATATTTATATTTCGCAAGCATAAACTAAAAGAGGCCTAATTAAAAAAAAATTAATAGGTTTTTAAATTGTATTTTAAGAAAAGGTTCAATTTTGAAACAATCAATTTTTTTAATTGGTAACTGAAATTTAAGATTGAAAGAGTCGAGTGCAACAATGTGCCGTAAAGCTGGCCTAGATTAGGAGAAGGAAAAGGGTGGTTATTAGACAAAAAGAGTCTGACACTATCTCATCCCCCTAAAAATCATCTGATCCTGGAACCGATAACTTTGGTCTATATAAATTTAAATTGCACATATTCAAACTTAAAGCACAGATACTAAAACATTCATAGAGTACAATGACCTTAGCGAAAATACCACAGAATTATTTTCCAGCAATATCATGTTCTGTTATATTATCTAGTACATATATTAGGTACTAGGTATTTATGTATCATGTAGGTTCTTATACGAATATGTATATGAAATACCTGAAAAGCCACTCCCAGGTTGAAAATAGATATCAGAGCTAATTGTAGGTACTCGATAAGGACGGTGTTACAAACAAAGAAAGTTATTGGTAATTAGCTACGTATATTTTTGGATATTATTAAGTATTATTGATACTAATACGATTATCCGATTGTCAGACAATGTTTTTCCATTATGACAGTTTATAGATAGCTTTTCCCTTACATTATGTAGGGTAATCGTTTTTGTAATTTGATTCTGAATCAGAGAGTAAAATATTCAAGATTTGAAGGGAATTTGAATAAAAACTAAACTATTAATAAATTTTTCCGAGACAAATACAATAGATCTAACGCCAATCAGATTATATTATTACAGCTTTCATCGTCCTTTTTCTATGTTGAATTTATATACCAAATAAATCTATCAACAAGTCTTAGAGATTTTCTCACTAAAGCACAATAGGTAAAGATACAATATCAGTGTTTGCTAGTGAAATTCTAAGAACGATCCATCTCCGATGCAGCTCAGCGTGAGTTTGCGATAGCTCGACTCAGCTGCTATTAGAATTGCTAATTGGCTTCTGTGGCTTATGGCTAACCATGTATAAACACAATATAGTAAGCCTCCTGTATAATATTTCAAGCTCACTGACATTTTGTACAATGTTTATTATCCATTCAATCTTTGTACAAACATTTGAGATAGCCACAGTCAAAAATATAACCCATTCCATTAATAAAAACAAAAATATTGCTAGCTCATCCGAAACAATGATATTTTTGTTTCGTTTTATTATTTTTAATAATGTTTCCGGATAGGAAAACCATTAAGCCGAGAGAAAATAAAAAGGAGGAAAACGAAAAAAGGTTAAACTTCCCACTATTTGACATCAAACAGTCTTAGAAACCAATTAATATTATCTGTGTGTCAATGACCTTCAGTGAACTATTGAGGGCACAACATTCTGTATGTAGGTGTAAGAAACTGATAATTAGCATCGCGAACGTAAATTAACAACATACAAAGAAACTTAGTGACAAGCAGTTATCGTTAAACTACATTAATAAATAATATTTATAATGTCATAATTGTTCGTAAACCGATTTATTTACATGGCGGCATTTACAAAGGGAACTCGCAAAGAAATGATACAACTACGTATTTGAATTACAAATAATGGTACGTTTACATGCTTGCCAAGCCTTGGCAAACTGCAAACAGTCCCAAGCCTCCACAAATCTCGTTTGGCGTTTGAAAGGCGTTTATACGCTTGTGAATGCGTCAGTCTGCAATATACATCCAAGCATGGCGGACACCGAACTTGTGACGGCTATTGCATTTGGTTTAACGTACTTTTATTTGAAGTGTAAGCAAAGTGAAATAAAAAAAAGGAGAGCTCGACGACAGCGAAGATGGTGGATGAAAAAGATTCATCATAATCGTACCAGGTAACTACTATTTTGATTTAACCATTATCTGTTGCAGTTGAGTTATGCCACAATACTTACGATATATTTTATTTGTTACAGACAATTTATAGAAGAGAAATTTAATGAACTTTTATATGAACCATCTGGAGAGTTTGATAACTTCTGCCGAATGAGCTATTCTGATTTTGAGTTTTTACTGCAAAAAATTTCACCAATGATATCCAAGCATGATACAGACTTCAGAGAAGCTATACCAGCCAAATTTCGTCTTGCCATTACGCTACGATTTTTGGCATCTGGTGATTCTTACAAAAGCCTTCACTACTTGTTTAAAGTATCTGTCCCTATGATATCAATAATCATTCGTGAAGTTTGCCGAGCTCTTAATGAATTCTAAAGGATCTAGTTAAGGTAGGAATAAAACACAACATTATGTTAATTAAATACATTTATTTAGATTATAATAGAATCATAGAAAATCTGTTCTATGAATGTATGTTAGCCGACTGCTTTATTGTTTAATTATTTATTAATTTAAATAAGAATTATGTCGACGAATCAAAATCTTCGAAAGCATTCAACATAGCCATGTTTATAATGTTGGTTTCACGTGGGGTAGGGTTGATGATTTGGTCCGATATGATACGAATAGATGACGAGGGTGCTGTTGATGTAGATGGAGCTGGAGCTATTGGAGTTGGTATATGTTTTGTCATGTCTGGCGCTGAATAAGAGGTTTGTGTGTTTGGAGAGGGAAAAAAAACTTTGGTTGTTATGAATAGGTTCAGAATAAACACTATTAACTGATGTTGGCCGACTCGGAATGACTTGAGGAGATGGTGTTGAATATGCACCAGCCATTGACGACGGTCGAGAATAATATTGAGGGTATGGTGTATGACGCTCATTTGATTTTTGACTGATTCTGTTTATAAACAACCCATCTATTTGGTACATCATAATTTTTCGTTCATCAGTTGACAGTTCACGTAGCTTTATAGCCAATAATTTTGCGTATAGATCGCAATCATCGTCTTTGTGAGCAGGTATATTTTCATTCTGCCTTTGACCCAAAACATTTGTTAATTGTCCAAAAGCCACGGCCATTTGCTTTTCAGCCGTTTCAGAAGCTGGGCGACGACGTTTATTAGTAACAGCTTGTATGGATGGTGGTCTGGATGGTGATCTAGATGGTGGTCTGGATGGTGTACTAACTCTTATCAGAGGGTCATCCTCTGTCTGATCTGTATCTTCTTCTATTTGTTCTGATTGCTGCAAAAAAATAATATACTTAAACTTACACTTCATTTACTTTCTTTTTACAGATGCCCACCACAGCAGAAGGATGGCTTAATATAGAAGAAGGATTCAGGACTAAATTTCCACATTGCATAGGTGCATTGGATGGCAAGCATGTAGTCATTGAAAGCCCAACTCATAGTGGAACAGAGTATTTCAATTATAAGAAAACTTTTAGCATTGTCCTTTTGGCTTTAGTGGATAGCAAATACAAATTTGTATTCGCAGACATCGGGAGTCAAGGAAGAATAAGTGACGGCGGCGTCTTTAATAATTGTTTACTATGCAAAAGAATAATTAGAAACGAGATAGATTTTCCACCACCATGTCCACTTCCAGGATCGAATATTAATATTCCATACGTCTTCTTAGCTGACGGTGCTTTTGCATTGAGTCAACACGTAATGAAACCCTACCCTGGAAACCATGAAGTAGGCTCACCAAAAAGGTTATTTAACCAAAATTTATCTAGATCCCGAGTTGTAGTTGAAAATACGTTTGGAATTTTAACCTCAGTTTTCAGAATATTCAGACGCCCTATCAATTTAGAACCACAAACTGTAACGGAATTTACGATGACCTGTGTATTACTACATAACTTTTTGAGAACAAGTAAAAGTTCTTCAAATCGATATACTCCTCAGAGTTCGTTTGACGTATATGACAGTAGTGGAAATATGGTTACCCCTGGTTCATGGCGTAGAGATAACGACGAATATAATGCATTGCAAAATTTACCACAAATACCACGAAGATCTCCGGTGAACGCCAGAGAAGTCAGGGAAGAATTTACTTCATATTTTAATAGGATTGGATAAGTTGATAAAAATGTGTAAATAAATGTAGGTATAATAACCAACGGTGTTTTTTTTTATTTAGAACTAGCTTTTGCCAGCGGCTTCGCACGCTCCCCCCCCCCCTCCCCCCTTACTTCCTATGTCACTCAGAACCAAATCAGCTTTCAACTGGTGAAAGAATTATTGAAATCGGTCCAGTAGTTTCGGAGCCTATTCAATACAAACAAACAAACAAACAAATCTTTCCTCTTTATAATATTACTATATACAAACAAACAAACAAAAATACAAAGTATTCCTCTTTATAATATTAGTGTAGATAATCCTTATAGCATGATTCAGTATTCACGCGCGATGGCTTACTATTAGAGTATTTCATGTATAACTTTGGTTTCACTGCATTTCCCTTCACTGCTCTGCTCCTATTGATTGTAGCGTGATGAAAAGTATACTATAACCAGCTCAGGAGTATGAAAAATAATTGTACCAAGTTTCGTTAAAATCCGTCGAGTAGTTTTTGTTTCTATAACGGTTATACAGACAGACAGACAAAAAATTTACTGATTGCAGTTTTGGCATCAGTATCGATCCCTAATCACCCCCTGATAGTTATTTTGGAAATATATTTCATGTACAGAATTGACCTCTCTACAGATTTATTATAAGTATAGATAAATATATTTATTTACTTACTGTTTCGGTGTTTATCCCTTCATTGCAAGTATATACTGGTAGTAAAAATGACTCCATGGTTTCGTAAGCATACCAAGTTGGATTGTATATTTCTTCGGCACCTAAAATAAAATAAAAACATCGAAAATTAGAGCGAGATAGTTGCGGAATAATCGAGAAACTAACCAACGCTTTTAAACATAAGTTACACCTTGCTAAGCAGACTATCAAAATAATTATAAATGTATCGTAGGAACATACCTGCGCCAGAACGCATAGATTCGCGTTTTTTTTTCAAGTGCTTGCGAAAAGTAGTCATCAATATCTCTTTTTTATTTTTTATTTCCTTTACTGGCCTTCCAGTAAGTTCAGCAAGACGAATCCATGCATCTGCTTGTTTCTTCTTATCTTTATGATTTGCATCTTTCGGATTCCAGATGCATGGTTCCATTTGGTAATGTTCCAGAAACGAAAGACTCTCCTCATTCGACCAGCAACTCATTTTTTATTTATTTTTTGTAAAATCAAGCAAGCGTGTACTCGCCGCGAGATCACAATGGCTACTAAACGCGGACCAACATGTAAATGCATCGCAAGCGCTTGCCGCAAACGCCCTTTGATCTGCGTAAAAAAACCGACACTCGACTGGATCGGAAGCAAGCAGGCACAAGACCACGCAAGCCAAGCCAAACGCCCTTTTTACATGCTTGCGATTGTCGATCCTTGCCAAGGCTTGGCAAGCGTGTAAACGTACCATTAAATTCTTGACGAAAACCTTAGCAAGTCACCAAAATAGAAACAGCCTCGTTTAAAATAATTTAATAGATTTCATCAGTCGTAAGTTGCAAGAATTAGGACTGAATTTTGACAATGACAATATTCAAAACATCTGACAGACCGAAACTCGATTGGCAATAAAATGTAAATAAGAGTTCAAGGACCAGATTTCATATCAGAACTGTCTTGGTCCTTTTACCAAAATAGCAATGTACATTATTACAGCTTTTAACCTACCTAATATCTTTAAAGATTGGTACAAAATGTAAATATCGAGTCTTCGGATCGATAAAATTTGCTTATAATTTAAAACGAATTTGCGTAATGGCAAGGACTTCCTATCAGTTTACTTAATAAGCCAATTACAGAGTATTTTCTGGTGACATGCGCTTTGGCAATATTTCAGGTATTGGTCGAAACCTAGAGGAATAATAGAGAACTGGGTACTTACAATATTACCTCAATTACATTTTATTACATTTACATTTATTACATTCTGAAGACAGAACAAAGAAAAGTTTTGTAGTTGATCAACGTAGAGAATTAAATTTTAGTTGTAACACAGATACGCATTCAATGTAAATATATAAAACCGACAATAACAAAGAAGAAGATAAATCTACAAAGACTGACGATTTTCGGAAGGAATGGTAACAGAATCTATATTTATAAGATACCAATATATGTACATTATTTTTATACCTTGTAATAAACTGTACGAGTATATAAACCTGTACACAAAAACAACATCGCAAATACAACCTTAAGTATAGCTAACATTATAAACACAATTACGCACACAGTTCACATCGGAAAAACAACCTAAAGTCAATAAATTAAAGCAAATTGAAGCTTCGAACCATTTAGTTAATATTGTACAGTGAACTGACACCGAGAACCAATCAGTTCACAATTGATAGCGTTAATTAAACTAGAGAAAGCACTTGGAAAGCTTACCCTACAATTGCTGTCTAATTATCAACTCTAATTAGAAGAAAATACAAGCAATTACTAACACCAATGTATTAAACTACTAAATAGGATGTCGAGTTTTCTTCACCGCCATTTTGAGTTTACCTAGTTCCATAACGAGTTATATTTCCTATATATCTAGCTTGTAGAATGACTGCTATTTAATATGTACAAACTAAAGAGATTTAATGACGTATCGTATTTTTTTATTCCTTAAGTAAGAAACGGTCTGTAGTACTTTTAATCTAGCTAGCACTAGATAAACTTAACAATACTAAGCATCTTAATACTAAGAGATTAACACCTACTTCAATGCTTACAAATCAAATTTGCATTAAATCAACATACTAAGAATATAGTGGTCGGCCAGCGCCCTGAGATAAAATAAGCCTCATAATAATTGATTAAATAAACGCCCGTGTTGGTCTAGACAATTAGGGTCTGTTCGCTAAAATATCACAAGAGATGCGGATGTCGATAGTCTAATAACTTAGCGTAGTATTACGTAAGCGACTAATTTGCACAAAAAACACTACCTACGTTACTTCTATTCAAGCCATTGTACCATTTAATTGGACATCAAGATAAGGAAGGAACTATTAAGTTCCCTGTTCATCCATTCTGCCTCAGAGAAATCCACAAACTGATACCACTAAACAACAGGCACTTTCGCACGGTGACCACCGGCAATCGCCAGTCACATTAGTGCCAACAATACCTGACCCCAGCATGAGAGAAAGTGACTATCCAATCGATTAATCTGCCGAGTCCCTCGGGCATCGGATACCAGACGTATGGTAATAACAGATCAACATCGAAAATCGTAATTGTTGCATTGATAATTCGCAACTGACGGAGCAATTGCCGGTTGCGAAATTGATACTGGCGACCGAAGCAAATTCTTATTGGAAGTCTTAGCAGACGCCACCGCTGTTGACACCTTAACGAGAGCCTTTAAAATGAAATTTCTTGTAAACAAGACAGCGAGAGCGATGAAAGGGAAGCGATTTGTGCCGCTCAATAGCACGTCATGAAGTGTGAAGGGACGCGAGACCCGGGTCATTCATCAGTAGTGAAAGCGGGGCCAACTGATAGTCCTAAATTACCCCGGGCCACAAGTAAGGCTATCGTTACCCGGTCCGCTATAAAGACTCGACAAAATGTAGGAACGGTCGACGAAATTGCAAATCATTCGTCAATGGATAGTAAACGACCTCACCTTGTCGAGCCATTGACATTGACGTAGATACAGGTTACTGAAGCTAACGAGATTGATGGCGACCGCTTACATCCAATTTATTACACGATGACATAATAATGCGGACATAAACCAAATAAGAAACAATATTAGAAGTCGGCGGAAGTGTGTAACAACTTACTACATTTCTGGAGCCCAAAGCGGAGTGAGGACGTAAATTGGGAATGTCAGGCACACCGCACGTTGTGACAGAATTTTGCCAATCTCTGTCGTCTCGTTTGCATTTCGAGTGCACGAACGTTGTGAGGGCCTTTATTTTATCTTTTTACCAGAAAGCTGTTTAAATGAAAGCCAGTTTTTGTGCATTCCTCTCAAATTTTAACGAGATTTCCCTGACAAAAACATGATAGGTCTGACAGTTATTTAAACATTCTCTTGTTCCTTGTGAATTTATTCTGTTTTATGGACGAGGGTCCACACGTGAGGTCGCGGAAGGACCTTTCCAAAAGTTAAATAAGTATTTGAGCTGCAGTGTATTTTTAACATCTTACATGGAAATTCAAGTGGTCGTCATAATAACACGACAATGCAAATTCCTGTGATTTGTGGTGATGTTATGCTTGTTAGCAGTTGTTAACACGATGACGATACTCTGACTGATTATCAATACGTAACGGAACGCCGACCATAAATGTCGAGACATTATCGATTTGTATTTCCACGAACGCACTTCGGGTCAGAAATGATTATGCAGTTTCGAAATATGTGAAGCGTCATGACACGCTCATAATTGTTGTATCGGTAAATCTGATAAACACATCGACTGTTAAGCCAAATGTAAAGCCTCACGACAAAGCTCGCATTAGAAAGCTGAATACTTAATACCGTTAAAATGCGTTCAATAGGGACATGGCGAAAATGTATTGAGCTCATATTAGAGTCGTTAGTCGTAATTGCGTATCATGCAAAAACGAACGAGTTCTAGTTACGATAAAAAATACCTTTTCGCTTCACAACGTCCATTGTAAAAGATAGTGATTAATATAATTTTTATTTGGTTTGATTGTGTGTGTCTACGGCTTGATTCTGTTCTCGTCTCGTTATTGTGCGGCCGTTGACATCAAATAAAAACCCTGATTGGACCGGAGGTGGTTTAACTGTATTCATAGTACGTACAAGCGTCGTATGATGGATTGGCCTGTCAAGCATAGTAACCTCCGATTCTATTGTATAGTAGTCATCCAATTTCTCAAAGTTAATATTTATTATGGGTTTCAATTAATTATTATAATGTTTGGATACGAGAGAATTCTGAAATTCATGATTGGAATGGTGAAAGTAAAATATGTGTAATAGTTAAGTCATACTGCTTAAGTAAGTACTCATTTAAGTAATGGGATTAAAAACGTACCGTAATAATAGCTTTAGTACAATATAAGGACGACAATTGCTGATTGGTTGTAATAAGCAGCTTTAATAATATTGCTGCTACTAAATTTCAAATTATTAATATTGTGAAAGCCATAAAATATACAAATTCTAACACAAATTCCTTTGTAACAAGGTAAGAAAACTTGATAAATGGCTCTATAAGTTCGTGAGAACATGGAAATGTGGAAGGAATTCAACCAGATGACAAATGCAGTGCCCAAAGTTGAACAAACAAAAATCAATTGTGTCATTGATGACAGATATTTTGTATCGTGTTACCTCGGGGGTACTGATAGGACTGATGATAATCATTGGTTGGCGGTTGACATTATCGTCGGAAATAAATTGAGTATTCATGCCGTCATTGGGTGAATATAAATTACTGTAGACACGATCAGTGATAGCTACGACATACTTAACTTACGCTGTACACGCATTCTGACTGATAACAAAAACCTTGGAACAGATGTTTCCGACTTTTTAGGTAAGAAAATCAAAAACAAATCTGGTAAGAAAAATATTTTGGGGATCTACACATATATTTTAAAGCTTGTTAACATTATGAAACTAGATAGTATTCTTCCACTTTCAGAATCAGAAGAACCCAACCCAATATAAGTATCTTATCAATTTATTTATAGTCGTTACCAAACTATCTTCCAACGATATGTATCAGTCTCCGTACACCTCAAAAGGCGTAGCGTCACATAAATGTGTTTCTACCTTCATGTAGTCATTGTTTACGCTTCGCAGAGCTTATGGAGTCATTAAAACGGCTTTCTTAGACACATCGGCCCTTTGTTTAGCTGATAACTCTGTAATAATATGTTCTTGTACCGTATCCTTTGTTCGTAACACTTAATTAGTTTTTATTACGGTCTTAAGGTAGTAGCGGACAAAATGAGAGGTCATGCCTTTGGAAGACGTGATCTTGTAAAGTTTGTTTTTAATATCGTTTCAAAATACATGAAGAAGTAAAAATTGAGACGGCATGCTACTAAAATACCGTTGCAAAGAAAGCTACACACACATTGACTATTTGGTCAATCATTTGACTAATGTCTAATTTATGAATTCGAAGATTTATTCCATGATTAGCAGAGTTATTTGCATCGTAACGAACG